TCCAGCCCCTTTCACCTGCCTGCTGATGCTGTCTCTTTTCTGTATGGTTTTGTGAGAAGCAATCCCATTCCAGGCACATCTCATTGTCCTGGCATAACCAAACCCTGACATTGCTTTGAGTTATGATGGGGGAAGCTGTATACTGAATTTGGTGGTCCTATCTCTTGCTGTTTCGGAGTTCTTGAACAAACAGAAAGATGGACAGACAGATTCTCAAACATACAGTAGACCGGAAGATTTATCTTGCGTTGTGCAAGCCTTTAACTCAATTGTTTTTTGTCTTTTGGACAATAAAATGAAAAATGTTCCTGCTGCAATTAAATCATTGCTTTGGGGTGGGGCTGTAGCAGAGAAGCAAGACAGTGCAGAGGAAGAGAGAACACACCATACAGATGGCTATGAAGAAAGACTTTCTCCTTTTCTGGCCTCCTGGCTCAACCTGAGGTTGCTTCTCACACTGCTGAACTGGGCCCATGGAAGTTAATGGTCAACATCCCCATGACTCCCATGGGAGAAGGCTCAAAGCAGTAGCAGAATCAACTGTAATTTTAATATTTTCACTGACAAGACTCTCCTATGTCTGATTTCTACCTTCGTGAATTTTTCAGGCACAAATAAACCCTTGAGAAAGGGAAAACAATAGGGCAGTTCTGGGAGGGGGGAAATCTGATGTGCCCATACCTGAGACTTACAAGTCAGCATCTTTTTCTTCACAGCTGCTTCTCAGTTCCCTTACGTGCTTTCCACTTCCCTGATTCACTCTTCCCTTGATGCTGCTGGTGGCTGTGTGGACTTGTATTTAGAGCAAACTACTAATTATTCAGGTGCCTACTTAGGGATTCTAGGCTGTACTCACCCAAGTTTGAAAATCTCAAGCAATTGTGTTGCTTGGGAGGGTCCTGGGCAGAAAGCATCAACATTTGGCCTTGTGTAAACCTTGCAGAAAACCGTTCATTTTTCTGAAATGTCAAATACGAGGCTAGAGAATTTCACTCATCTCTGCCTCTGGGCAGCTGTGCAGGTGCAAGGGAAGGAGACAAGCATCCGACCCACTTGATATGCTTTCGTACTTCCATGCAAGAGTGACAAGGACCCAAAGTGGGCTGGTCACAGAGATGCAGTCAGGCAAATGAAGACTGGAGGGTCACCCTCTCCCCAACATCCCTTCACTCCTGCCTTTAGTTCCGTGGTTTGACTGAACCTTAATTGTGAGAGGTCTCGGGCAGCATTTCTCAATGACCTGCCTGTGGACCAGCATCCTGTCATAGGTTAGGGATGCAACAAGCTGGTCCCAAGAAAGACTGAGAAATGCTCTAGGATATCGGCAGAGGCGAGATTTTCTGCACGAGCTCAGTAAGATGGAAGGCCTCTCAAACAAAAGCTTCACCCACTGAACTATGAAATATTCGAATGTGGGTCTCACTCATTCTTAGAATCATAGAACTGGAAAGAACCTCGAGAGGTCAAGTCCAGTCCCCTGCACTCATGGCAGGACCAAGCACCACCTAGACCATCCCTGATAGATTTGTCTAACCTGCCCTTAAATATCTCCAGTGATGGAGATTCTACAACCTCCCTAAGAAATTTATTCCAGTGCTTAACCATCCTGACAGGCAGTTTTTCTTAATGTCTGACCTAAACCTCCCTTGCTGCAATTTGAGAACCATTGCTTCTTGTCCTGTCATCAGCAAGAGGCTAAGGAGAATGAATTCTCCCCCGCTTTTTAGGTACTTGAAAGCCGTTATTTCTCTTTTCCAGACTAAACAAACCCCATTCTTTCCATCTTCCGTCATAGATCAATGTTTTCTAGACCTTTAATCATATTTGTTGCTGAAGCTATTACACTTTAATAATTAAAAGGGCCGAAACCAGTGTCACCGTATAATTCAGAGATTAGAGCACTTGCCTGAGAGGTAGGTGATCCTTGGTCAAATTGAACTGGGGTTTCCTACATCTCAAGGGAGTTCCCTAGCTACTGGTTATATGCAGTCTTCCTCCTCACAACATGCAAGTCCCTTTGTGGATCCAAGCCCCTATACTGGATCAGAGCAGAAATCTGATAAAGTGCCCTATTAAAACTACTCTATCATCTGTTCCTTTAGCAATGTTAAGTTAGGCTGGTATCTGTCTGCATACATGGGCACTATGCGATTGTGTAACTGAAATCAACTCATATTACTGGCTGGAAGAAGTAAGCGCTGGGCACATTTCCAAAGAGAACTTGACTTGTATTTAAATAAAATATTGTTCCTACCCAAGAGGAGATGGAGCTCAAGTATGATTTAAAAGAGAAACAGCTGCAAGGAAGATCTCTGTGTGTACCTTAATGGAGACCATCACAACTTCAAATTGTTTTAAACATGTAGTCCCGCAGCAGCTGAGTAACAGATTGTCAGATCGTGACTTCCTTCATCTGAGATCAGAACTGCAACAATGGGAGGGCAGCACAGCTCTTGCAATGTTTGTTAAATTTTGATGAATCAGCTAATTGAGTCATTGATGGAATTTCCTTTGACTACTCCATTAGTTGATAACATCTCTCCCTTTGAAACGTACAAGAGCCGTCCCCAGCTCTTGTACATTTCAAAGTGGGGATAGGGGAGGAGGAGCTGGGATGGGGAGAAGGTTCCTGCTTCATCAATCCCTTGGATGGCTCTTGTACATTTCAAAGGGAGAGGAACAGTAGCTGGGAGCTGCTTGAGCAGGACTGTTTCAATCCCTGCTCCTGCCATTTCCCCTCTGCCTCCTCTGCCCCTGAGGAGACGTGCTGGGGGGAGCCAGCTTTTAATCTGGCTCTCCCCAGCACTGGCTCCTGTTCCCCCCGTTGCTCCCTCTTTCTGATACAGGCAACAAGGGGGCAAGGAAGTGAGTAGTCGAGTAGACTAGTCATTTACATCCCTACTGTGTATGTGATACTTCCACAGAAGCAACACTCAAAATCGTGCTATTTTATACAAGTGCTCACTCATGTTTTAACTGCATATCAACAGAACCGGTGAATTTTTAACTATTTTAATTTTCCCCCCAAGTTTTTCCAACTTTCATTTTTCAGATTTTAGTACAGGTCAAATAGCAGGTTCTTCTTTAACAACTACACAGAACTGGGTTATCATTAAAGGATGAACTCCTCAAAGTATCTTCTCCCTGTGTGAAAGGTGAATGTGTTCAAGGGCAAGACCAAAACTACTACAAATAGGAAAAGCAGTTACATTGGGATTACGCTTTCTTTAAACTTTTATAAGACTGATCCACCTTATCTTGGGAAATAATTTGACAATTCAATCGAAACCTTCCTGCAGAGTCACTTGAGACACAATCAAGGTTTCTTAGCCGTTAATTTTATTTCAAGAATTTTTTATAAAAACCCTGTCAGTCTCTTTGTATTTTTATAACACAAAAATAAGCACTTTGGGTATTAAATTATATTACAGAAGCACAGTACAGTTCTTTGAATTTTACTGATCCTGGGCAGAAGAGTCAGGACTGTGGAGAGCTGATCCGTGTAGTTATATTGCCTAAGGTCTAAACCAAATAGGGTGGGACTATCAGTGACTTTGGAAAGAGAAGGCACCACCAGAATGAAAGGATCCAGCTCAAAACCCTGATGTGCTCAGCATTCTAAACCACTGTGGTACGTCTCAACATATTATGTACAACCTAAATGCAACAAACTAAAGCCTATTAAATTCAAACTCCGCCCTAGTAAGCAAAAACAAACGTATTCAATACTTTTCTGCACCGCTTTCCCTGTGGGAATCTTTGAAATTCTATGTTGCATCACAGAACAAATCCAATGTTAAAGAGCAGTCAATATCCTTGGCTTTTCAGAATCTGGAGCGAGTACCAAGTGCCCCATGCAATGGCGAAGAGGTGGCCTTTCCACGACAGAAGCTGCATCAGTCTCATCAGGATGCCTGCTTACACCTGGGAATGAAAGCCAGGAGGGATGGATCCCATAGGAGCAGCACAGAACTTTGCTGGAAACTGGAAAGCAAGAGGACACTTCAAGGTTGATTTACAGTATGTATATGTCTAGGAGGGCAGCCCAGCCCAGCCCAGCCCACATGCCTGTGTGTCTGCAGGAAGCTCAGTTATCCACCTCTTCATCATCATTTTGTTCCTCCTCTTCCATCCGTTCATCATCTTCATCATTCTCCTCCTCCCTGCTCTTGTCTTGTTCCTCAGAGTCTGCCTTCTTGTCTTTCCTTGCTTCTTTCTTGCCTTTTTGCTCACGCCTGTAAACTAACAGAACAAGAGAACTACAATTGGACATATGTATGTTATTGTATCCATTGTAGGGACAATCTAGATGTGCTCCCCCATGCTATGACCCAGGGTCTCCCCTTGCTCTCCAGGCTTATAAAAATGGAACACTGAATCTCTTTATAGTAGCTACTCATCCTGTTATCTGAGCTGTGCTGACAGGCTCTAGAGGAAGTTATGTTAAATGATGTTTAGCAGAAAGATGGGAAGAAGGTAACAGGAATTCATGTACATTACACAGAACACAAGGCTCCCACAACACAGAAGTGATGGGGAAAGACAGAAAAACCATGACTGTGCATCCTTAAAATACAGTTATGAAATTACATCATAGAAGTTCTGGTAAACTACATGTTCATATGTCCCCATTAAAACTGCAATGAAAAATTTTCTGACAAAAAAAGGGAGGTAAGATTTGGATGTCCAACCCTCAGGGTAAATAGGACTCATTGTCATTAGGACTAATTTAATATACAATTAAAGAACAAGTTACCTTCCAATGATTCCTTCAAAGGCGCGATAAATCGCTGGAACTCCATTTCCTCCATGGCTGAGAGGACATCTCCAGCATTCAGTGTTTTCCTTTTCCCCTTCACTGCAAAGTTATTTGCGCTAGTTAAAGTGAGGAAGCAGAATAAATATCAAATAGCAAATCAACCCCAAATTCCATCTGTTCAAAGCAGCACAGCCAACTTAAACAATTACGGCTCTCTGAAATACTCAATTGCTATTGTGATAAGCAGCACCTAGGATGACTGACCAGGAAACAGATTAAATAAAAAAAAAAAACACCTTTGTTTATAGTGTGCATTTAAGTGTATCTAGTCAGTTTCACGTTAGTGAGGTTACCATTTATATGGGTCTTTTAAACTACAAGAAAAAAAAAACATGTTTAAATGTGGTTGTAAAAGTGGCAAGATGATTCAAGGACACTAGCAAATATGTAGTTACTACATGTATAATTTAATTCGTTTTTTAAAAGTTCACTAGTATTCAAACGTCCCTGTAAAATTAAAAGGTATGCCATCAAACTGAATTTCAACTGCTATAGATTTAGAGAATTTAAGTGCAGGAGGAAGCTAAATGCTATAAAACTCAATGAGTAATTTAACATACAGTATGAAACATGCCTAGTTAGTTACTACATTATTTAGGTTAGCACTCAGAAGGGAAGTCATAAGGCTACAATGGATTCACATAACGCAAGAACAAGGAGCCCTTATGTAAATTAATGTTTGCTATAAAAAGGCTTTATAATTTTATGACCAGTGTTTTCTGAAAAAATGATAAAGTGCAGTGATAAAGGTAAATCAAATGTGATGGTTAAGGATGTAAGTGATCACTACCGGGAACAGGCAATAACCCAGCCCCATCTTTGTAGGCCCTCAGAATGTATATACTGGGCAAATAACTGATGGCATTATGAAGCACTGATGCAAAAGAAAGTATTTGCTACTTAATCAAAAACTATTTTTAACAATCTTATATTACACAAAGGTCACATTACAAACTAAAGCCACATGAAGCTTGATAATGCTTCGTGTACATGAAAGATAAACATGTCTTTCATTACAGGTAGTGAAAAAATTCCATCAAAGAGAGCCAGCAGAAAGGCTAGCTACAGATCAAATGGTCCATTAGATCAGGTCACCAGTGATGCTTACCATGATGTGGCATACAACACAAACACACTTGCAGCTCGAGATATTGCACTCCGAGCTTCTTTGGAAATGTTCACTCCCTCAGGAAGCTGGGAAAAGGGAAATGCCATTTTATCAGATGCAATTCAAGTCATATGGATCTGGAGACTTATCAAGTCCAGTCTAATGGGACTGAAAGTCACCAGTTTGGTCAAATCATCCTGAGTATTTGCAGTAAGGATGTAAAATCCCATTTAAACAGTTAACCAAGGTTTAACCAGGTAATTGATTAAGCAGGATTTGGGGTTGAGAGGAGGCTGCAGCCCAGCTGGAACGGCATCCCCCTACTCTGTAAGCAGGGCTCCTGGGTCCGTGAGTGGCTGCCAGTTCCCACCCTGGCCTGTGGCATGGTGGGTTGGAGCAGCCCTCCATCTACTGCAGGTCACGGGCAAGGGGCTACTCCCTGGCACCAATTAACTGTTACCTGGTAAGCATCACCCGTTAAACTACAACTTAAAAAAAAAAAAAACGCAATAAAGATCACAGAACAGTATTTCTCTGTTTTTCCCAATTTACCTTGAGCACCTGGCATAAAGAAGTTCATTTTACTATGTAGTCAGATTTCCCTGTTCTGGTATGTCTCTCAAAGCAAGGGGCAGAAAAAATGCTAAAAAAGTAGCTGTAAAACCACAAGAGCTAACAAGGGATTTTTTTAGCAAATGATTAATTTCAAATTGACAGTTTTCCCATCAAACTGTTTTACCATCTACAACACAAAAGTTTAAAAAATTACACAGCAAAGGACCCAATTTATGTGTAACTGGCACACTGTACTCTATTGATGTTTTCAGTCTTTTAATTCAATCTTCTTGAATGCTTTTAGCTCTCCAGTGATACTCACTGCTTCTTTAATTATCCGAGTGATGACAGCATTGGGCAGGTTCAAGTCCTCTGGTCTTTCTGCCATCTTTGAACACCTAGAACTAAAATGAGAACTATTCAAGCTATTTTTTCTGCTTACCAGTTCTGCTTATAATACAACACGTCTCATTATTATAGTAGAGCTAGGCAGTTCTGCTATGCAAAGTGCCCATATAAAAGTGACACCAGCTTACTCAGCAGCTCTGCCCCATACATCTAGTTGCTTGTCAATGAGAAAATATCTTTACTACTCTTTATTCCCGATACCTCTGCAGAACCAGCAGAGGTAAAAGGGATTCCCTGGATTTTTTTTTCTTAACTCCCCTGTGTATTTAAAAAACAAACAAACCCCAGAGTGGTCCTGTAGCACCTTAGAGACTAACATTATGTGTATAAGCTTCAGGGGAGTAGCCCAGTTAATCTGGACAGGATGAATTCAAACAACACACAGTCTGGTAGCACTTTAAAGACTAACGTGCTACCAGACTATCTGTTGCTTTTGTCTCTATAGTGCCATGAGCGTCTGTGGGCGCAACCCACATTTTCACGAGCGGGTGGCGCCCACGATTTTATATTTAAAAGCACAGCTCCTTGCAGGCTCACAAAGCAGCAGAGGGGGCCGCGAGCGTGCGGGGGTCCGACCCCAGCGCCTCAGCGCTCATGCCCCGTCTACGTGTCTGCTGAGGTGTCC